TAAGAAACCAGCCTCTTAATCTACATGAGGCACCATCACAATGTTTCTCTCCATAAGAAGCTCTCTTCTCTCTAAGGGGAGGCCTTGTCTCTCATTCCCAAGAAGCCCTTGCTTCTCTCTCTCTCTACGTTTCCCAAAGGGTGACCCAAATAGGGCACACATATTTTTTTCCCTTTCATCTAATATATATAAGGTTAAGAATCCACGCTAAATTGAAACTTTCTTATGGATGTTACATATATCTAAAAAACTAAAAGATATATCCAATAGTCCTAATCTTCTTAGATTTCTATTTCTTTTAGAAAATTTACCAATATCAATCCCACATAATATGAGATTTTCTTATGTAAATGATTTGGATATCACCAAATCCTATAGAACAATGCTTACTTTATTGTCATGACATAAAACAAATGATAGACCTATTGTGACTACATAATGAAACAATAATACTAGCACAAGGGCTGCATTAGCAATTAACAAGCACTATAACCCAATCCATAGATTATGTTTAGAAGAACATAAATTGAAATAGTGGTCCATTCAAAACGCTATGAAGTAATAAAATGCATCAATAGATCTAAATATTTGAATATTATTTTGAATTCCTAGCTACCTAAATTTTTAGTTGTATCTAATCTCCCTTGTTCTTTATATCAATGCTTCGGGTTAGAGAAAAAGAATATTTTTTCATTGCATTATTCTTCCTTAAACTCTACCTACAATTTAAGATATAAGGTTGATGGATTATCTTTTTGGGAAAATATTGCTCTTATTTTTTAATACACTTTTTCAGAGAAATTTTTTATGGAAATCCCTAAACCAAATTTCAAAGATATTAAATCAATGTAGAGATTAAAATTTTCAATAAAGTTAGACTTTTTGATTTTTTTTTTTAAGATTTATATCGACTCCAATAAAAACATGAGTTTTTGAAGATCATTTGAAAAACTAGGAGTTTTTTTTGAGATGATTTCAAAAAATAGGATATTTTTTCAAAAAAATAGTGTTTAAATAGAGACTTGCTAATTATAGTTCGAACTAGTGTTAAAAACCACAAAATAGGGACAGGACTTGGCACATGCCTGGGCAGAGTAACTTAGGCTCCTAGTTGGGCAGGGTCCTAGCCACGCCAAAAAGTATTAAATAATTTTAAAATGTATCCCAAAAAATATCAAAAATGTGTTTAAAGTGAAATTAAATAAAACATATATAAATGCGGTTAAAAAAGTAGTGAAAATAGATTTTTAAAAAATTAATTTGTGAATGGAATATTTTAGAAATAATAAAAAAAAAAGATAAAATGTAAAAATAGGTATTCATGGCCAAAACACTTTTCAATATATTACAAATAATGTTATTATTTTTTGGATTTTTTATTTTTTGATTTTCTTTTTTAAGATCGTTGAGCTGACCATCCAACTCTCGGATACGTGGCGTCACCAAGGTGGCGAGTCCGAGTTAGCTCGCCCGACTTTTTAAAAAATGCTATCTAATGAGTGAATGGGATAACAGTAATGACACAAAGTTGCCCTTTATGATAAGGAAAATTACACGGTCCACATTATATGGACTGATGGTTGAGATTTGATAAGGCCCAATCTAATGGTAAGAAATTACGCTCGCATTTTACTTTATTTTTCATTTAAAAATATATATCTGAATTTTTGGGTGTAGGTTATCTTTATAAAAATAACTAAATGAAAATTATTAAAAAATATTTAAAATAAAAAATAATTTAAATAAAAACAACTAAAATACCTTTAAATTTATTTTGATGAATATTTTTTATGAAAAAAATTTATATAAGGTTGCAACCTTAAAATGTAGAATTACAAATGCACCCCAAAAATCCTTCAGGAAAGTTTGTTTTAATGTCGAAAAACCCTCTAATTGATCGTCTTAATATTAAGATGTACGAATATAATAAAATAAAAAAAAGGATTTTGAGTCCTATAAATAGTGCATCTTACAACTCCTTATCTAGATTATCCATTTTCAAGATTTTCATATTTTTATAGATCTACTTGATTTTAATCATTTTTAGAGTTTAAAATTTATATTTATACGTGAAAATAGATTTTGAGAAATTCTTAAGAATTTTTTACACCAAAATTATATTAATGATAAAATTTGGAGGTCCTCTCATTGTTTAACGTTGCAACCTCCTAGAAACCGCACACCATTTTTATTCAATATAACTTTTACTATTTATGTTAAATATTTCATGATCATCATCATTACACCCTTTTCCCAACTATTCGGATGTGAGGTAGATTGCACACCTCTTTCCCAACTATTCGGATGTGCGATAGATTGCATGGATATCATAGGTACAAATATCTAGGTTTATTTTTATAGTGTGGTCCCCATATTTCATCCCATTAAAATGTAGGGGAAAAACACAGAGGGGGAGAGATTTGGTGAAATGAATATTAAATGCCACGTTTGTCGAGTGTGTGAGAGAGAGATCTTGGTCCTTTTGAAAAGCTTTGGAGATCTAAGTACTAGTTTTTGAGAGAAGTGAGGTTCTTTAAAGATTTGTGCCTTTTCTTTGTTCAAATTTATGAGATGTTGATCGGCCCAGGTAATGCACAATTGGGCATATTGCTGAGAAATAACACACCCCAACAATAAGCTAGTAATATTCAAAAGCTAGAAATGACACCTCAACAATGCTACAGACATCCCAGGGCTAAAGATGAGACAACCCTAGAGTCTGCTACTAGTATCCAAAGGCTCGGATTGTTAGGATTTATGAACCCTTTTAGTTACAGAAAGAGGAATTCCAAAAGTTAGATCCCACTAAGATCATATTATCAACTAACAATAAAATAGGAGAGAGCATGAGGTTTAACATAAAAAGTAAAAAATGAAACACATACGCCACAAGAACACAAAGATTTATTTGGTTTACCTCAAGAGGACTATCCACTATACCAAATATTTACATGGTTCACCTCAAGAGGACTATCTACTATAACAATGAAAGTTACATATTTTGAGACATAGAGTTACCTCTCTCACTAAAAGGGGAACCACCCAAAATATTCATGGGAATCACTTCTCTACAAGAAAAAAACATCTCAATCTACAAAAGGCACATTGTCGTGTTTCTCTCAATCTATAGGAGGCCCCTGCCCCTCTCTCTATGTGAAGCCACCTTTATTTCCCATATGGTGACCAAAATAGGGCACACATAGTATTTCACCTTTCATCCCATATATATAAGGTTAGGAGTCTACACTAAGTAGGAAACTTCCTATACATGTTAGATATATTTCAAAAACTTCCTATAGATGTTATATATATCTTAGAAACCAAGAGATATAACCGAAGAATCCTAACCTTTTTGGATTTCTATTTCTTTTGGGAAACTAATTAATATCAATCTCAATCCTACATACTTTGAGAATTTATTATGAGGGTAATTTTGGATATCACCATATCCGACATAGATAATTATGAATTTCCTTTATATAGTTGGTAGCCTTTTGCTGCGTGAAATTCTTGCAAATGTGAAGAAATTTAGAAGACAATATTCGTGTAAAATTCTCCACACCCATAGAGAGGGATGTGAGTTCTATTTACAATAGTTATGTACTTATCCTTAATTGACTCAATCAAGGATTTGATTACATCAAATCTGTACGGATATGGAAAGCGGTTACCATATATCACGAAAATCCTTATCATCTGAATCCTTATCAATATCGTATATTTCTAGATAATTATCATTCTTATTTACTCCCTTTTAAACTATTGTCGATGTGAAACATGAACAACTTGTTTGCTATTGAACGATGATGAGATGTAGGAAGACCTTTTGTAAAGATATCAGTAAATTGTTCTGTAGTTGAAACATAATAAGGAGTAATCTATCAACTTTCAACCTTTTCTCGAATGAAATGATAATCCAGTTCAATGTGCTTCGTCCGAGCATAAAGAACTGGATTAAATGCAAGCTTTATTGCACTGTAATTATAACAACAAAGAATTGCATGTTGAATTCTAATAGCCAATTCTGATAGAATGTGATTGTACCAAGTGATTTCAACAGTTGTGGAAGATATTGCTCGTTATTTTGCTTTTGAACTTGAGTGTGCAATAGTCCTTTGCGTTTTACTACTCCAACACACTAGAGATCCTGTAAAGAAAATACAAAATTCAGATACTGACATTCTTGCATCGGGATCTCCAACCCAGCCAGCATTAGAATAGGTGATAAGGTTAACATGTCTTCCATCATTGGAAAAAAAAAAACCATCACCCAGGGTACCCTTCACAAATCAAAGAATCGCCCAGAGTACCCTTCACATATCGAAGAATCCTTTCACAAGGATCATGCATAAGGTTCACATGTCTTCCACCAATGGGAAAGAAAAGACCATCACCCAGGGTACCCTTCACATATCGAAGAATCCTTTTAGCTGCTATGAGGTGTATCTCATGAGGATCATGCATAAATTGACATACTTGATTGACAACATAGGTAATATCTGTTAAACTTTTGAATCCTCCAGGAAAATCATTGTGTATTGATTAATCATCAAGAATATATAGAGTCTCCTATACATATACGGCTAATCAGTTAATGATAATAATGAACTAATCTAGTATTATCAAGAGAGATATCTACAGCGAATACAAAATAACTTAAAATTAAAAACTATCTCTATCTCCTCTACTATCTCTATCTCTACCTCTGCCTCAAATTGAGGTTGGGTGAACATCATCAGTTTGCCAACGAGATAGTCATGACGAGCATGAGTCATTGTCTTGGTAAAGATATCTGTAAGTTGTTGTTGGGAGGTAATATATGGTAGTGTAACTTCTCCAACCAGGAATTTGTTACGAATGAAATGACAATCAACTTCTATGCGCTTTGTGCGGTCATGAAACACTGGATTTGACGAAATACGTATGACGCTCATATTATTAGCATACAATGGTGTAGGAGTTCGATGAAGAATATTAAGGTCCTGTAAAAGTCCACTGAACTAAGTAATTTCACTGCAAGCTGAGAACATTCCTCGGTATTCGGTTTCTACAGAAGATTTAGACACAGGTTGTTGTTTCTTACATTTCCATGATATGAGAGAATCTCCAAGAAAAATACACCACCCAGTGGTTGAGCGTCCAATATCGAGGTATCCTGCCCAATCTGCATCAGCATAAGCTCATAACTGGAGAGAAGAGTTAGAAGAGAATAATAGACCTCTATGATATGTACCCCGTAGATAACGAATAATACGATGGACAACAGAGAGGTGGATGCAACGAGGATCAGCAACAAATTGGCCAACGACCTGAACTGCATGAGAAATATCAAGAAGAGTCATAGTGAGATAAAGTAGACTCCCAACTAGTTGTCTATAAAGAGTAGGATCTATAAGTTTGTCGCCATCATCCTTTCTATATTTTACATTCACCTCCATTGGTGTATCCACTCGTTTCTCATCAGATAAGTTGACCAGTTTGATCAAGTCTTTGGTGTACTTCTTCTAGTTAACTATGTATCCATTAAGGGAATAATGAATCTCCAGCCCAAAAAAATAAGTTGACGAAACCAAATCTTTCATTTTGAATGATTGACTGAGAAGCTCTTTCAAGTGTCTGATATTATACAGGTTGTCTTCTGTGATGAGAATATCATCAACATATAGGAGTAGAATTGTAATTCTTGAAGAACAATGATGAGTAAATATTGAATAGTTATGAGCACTTTGTTTCAACCCAACATGCCGAACGACCTATCGAAATCGTTCAAACCAAGCTCTTGGAACTTGTTTTAAACTAAACCATGACTTTTTCAAATGACATACCATATATTTATCATTGCAATAACTAGGAGGATGTCACATATATACTGTCTTTTTTAAATGTTTATGGAGAAGTGCATTTTTCACATCCATTTGAGATATAGTCCACTGACGAATAGCGAAGAGAGCAATTGCGGTTCGTACAGTAGTCATTTTAGCAACAAGAGCAAACGTTTCATCATAGTCTATGCCATACGCATGTTTGTAACTTTGAGCAACTAATCGTGTTTTATATCGCTCGATCATTCCATCAAATTTAAGCTTCACAAAAAATACCCATTTACTGCCAATAATAGATGTGTGAGGAGTACACGGAACAAAGATCCTAAGTATCGTTTTCCAACAAGGCACTGATTTCTGCATCCATTGCCTCTTTCCAATAAGGCATAGTCAAGGCTTGTTGGTAGGAGGGAGGAATATCCACCGAATCTAAAGGGGCAAATAATGATCTAGGGAGTAAACGGAGATCTAGGTCTTTAGAATGAACCTCATTCGTATCAAGTAAAGTAAACAAAGCTCTAGGCTGTAGTAAAAAGTCAAAATCATCAAAAGAGAAGCCAAATGGATCAAGTGGCTGAGGTACATGTGAAGAACGTTGTAACTGAGCAGAGCTATCAATAGAAGTAAGAAAAGAATCACTTACAGGTAGGGTGGAGGTTTGACCTTGCTCTGGTTGGTGAGATGGAGTGTACGTAGAGTGGTGTTGTTAACCTTGTTGTTGAGGCACTAAAAGATGTGATGGTTTATAAATGGAGAAATCTGGAAAGAAAGGAGCAGAGGACCCTGATGATTTTACAATTGAAGAGTAATAAAAGATGCTTTCCAAAAAGACAACATTGCGATAAATACGTATACGACGAGCCGTTGGATCATAACATATAAACCCCTTTTGGTCGGGACAATAACCCACAAAAACACAAGTGAGTGCTTGAATTGAAAATTGTTTTCGTTCATGCTGAGGAAGATGAACGAAACATACACACCCAAAAACATGCAAGAGAGAATAATCAGGATGAACATGAAATAATGAATAATATGGAGATTGTTTATGCAAAACCAAGGATGGGAGGCGATTTATGAGATAAACAACTATTGATGCAACTTGAACCTAAAAACTATGAGGAATATGAGAGAAATGCATAAAGGTCCCCACAACTTTTAAGATATGACACTTTTTCTTTTCAGCTATGCCATTATGTTGTGGAGTATATGGATAAGTTTTCTGTGATTGAATACCCTGTGTTTTCAAAAAGTCTTGAAAATCATTTGATAAATATTCCCCACCAGAGTCTGACCGAAAGATATTTACTTTGATATTAAATTGAGTAACAATCATGGATAAAAACGTTTTAAAATGGGAGAACACTTTTGATTTATGACGCATAAAGTATATCCAGGTATATCGTGTACAATCATCAATGAACAAAATAAAATATTTATATCCCATTCTGGATAAAGTTAGAGCAGGACCCCACACATCACTATGAATGAGATGGAAATGTGCAGTTGTTTTATCAACTCGAGTTGGAAAAGGAAAACTGGTGCTTTAATTCAAATAACAACTAATACAAGATTTATTGATAGAATTCAAATCAGGTGCTTTATTGGGCAATGAACTAGAATGAACCAAAGTATCTAATTTATTTGCATTGGGATGACCAAGTCTCTGATGCCACATATGCCATTGTTTATTGGAAACAGAAAAATCAGAATTCGATGGAGAAAAGAAAGAAGCATCATGGTTTGGTATCTCAAACTCCAAGGCAAACAAACGACCAATTCTACGTCCCTTCCCTGTCACTCTCCCAATGCGTGAGTCCTGTATTAGACAACTATCACGAGAAAATTGAACATTGTAACCATCATCAACTAGTTAGCCCACAGATATTAGATTAACAATTAATTTAGGAACGAAGAGGACATTACATAAATGAAAAGGTGTACCACGGAAGATAGAAAGTGAAAGATTATTAGTACCAATAATACTCAGTTTCTCCTCATTAGCGGTGAGAAGCTGACTATTACATTAGTATGGTTTAGTAGATGTTGGACTTACGTGCACTCCAGTCATATGATTAGAGGCACCTGAGTCAATAAATCAAAAGAAATTTATACTATGGGATAGGTGAGAGTGCATACCAGACAAGCCCATAGCGGAGATAGCAGAAGAGATAACCATAGATATAGAGTTTTGTACCAACTGTCGAATATCATATGATATCTGGGACATTGTCATATTTGGGTCATGAATAGTGCTGGATTGAGGGGTCTCTACTCTTAGTCCCTTGGAAGCATCATTAGTAGCTTGGTATGCTATGTACAAAGGTCTTCGTGTATTGAATGCCCGGTTGCCTCATCGAGAAGGATTTCGACATTCAGTGATAATATGCCCAGCACGTTTACAATAAGTACAATTTTTTTTCTTCTTACACTGGAATGTTATATTACCATATTCTTTACACTCATAACATTACAGCAAATATGGATCCTTTTGTGATGGTGTTCCTCTAGCTTGTTGGGCTACAAGTGCAGACTCTATATCCTTCTTTCCCTCAATGGTCTCTTGGGTCGTGATTCTTGTTTCCTCACGAAGTAATTCATCGAGAATAGCATTCATATTTGCTATTTTTTCACGATTCAAAATATTGGCTCGATCAATCTCATGGTCTGGGCACAACTTCATCAAAAACTGCATCACCTTCCTGTCACCATTTATCTCCATTAAGCTCTGAATGCAACAAGCACTAGTGATAGCATTCAAGTTTACATATTCATATTATGTCCACAAGTTCATGAAACCAGCATAATATTCCTATAGGAAAACATATCATACTCGATTTGGAAGCGTCTTGCAATATTTGATTGCTGATAAAACTTTTCCAAATACTTCCACATTTCTTTCGCAGTATGGAAGCCTCTCATTGGCCTTCCAATATCCAAATCTACAGAGCGAATAACCATGAGATAATTTTTGCATTATTGATCTTCCATTGTTGGGTATCTTTAGAATTGGGTATAGCCGGTTCAGGTTTAGTGCCATCAACATACCTCCACAAACCTTTCCTTTCAACAAAAATTTGAAAATGGAACCGCCAATCGGGATAATTTTTCCCATCAAGTTTTATAGTCAATACATCTCCTTTTTCAGAAGCCATGTGTAAGTTATATCAGAACTCACAGACGTGATCAAGAATTTGGATCTAGTAAATAATTCATGAACATAAAAAAAGAGTTTTGATATAATATGGTCCGTATGAACCACCTCCCTTTTGTTTTAAAAAAAAAACGCAAACAGATAATCTTGGCCTCAACCTAGTTTTTATCCTGCTTCACTGACGCTTAAGGCAGCCTGCGAAACCCTAATCCTTAGTTCATTCGCCTGCAAATCAACGATGTCCGGAAGAAAGAAAACCAGGGAAAATGTAACTTTGGGACCAACTGTTCGAGAAGGTGAACATATCTTTGGGCTGGCTCATGTATGTGCCTCATTCAATGACACATTCGTGCATGTCACTTATTTATCTGGGAGAGACTCATTCGAATTACAGGTGGGATGAAGGTTAAGGCTGATAGGGATGTATCGTCCCCTTATGCGGCCATGCTTGCTGCCCAAGGTGTTGCACAAAGATGTAAGGAGCCTTTCTCTCTCTAACTTGGAAGGTATTTCAAGAGTTTCAAGAGCCCAAATCAAGGCTTCAAGAGCCCAAATCAAAGCATGTAACAAAAACAAAAATCCAAGGGGTCTTCTCACCCCTGCCCAAATCAAAGCATGCAACAAAAACAAAAACCCAAGGGGTCCCTTGCTTGCAAATCCTTACTAGTTCTTCCTCGTTGAAAGGTAGAGGTGTGTGATTAGAGAGAGCCAGAGGTGCGTGTAGAGGACAAAAAAAACCACATGGCCACACGATCAGAAGTGCCTTTGATACCATGTTAAACTTCTGAATCCTCCAGGAAAATCTTTGTGTATTGATTAATCATCAAGAATATACAGTGTCCCATATACATATACGACTAATCAATTATTGATAATAATGAACTAATCTAGTCTTATCATAAGAGATATCAACATCAAATACAAGATAACTTAAAATTAAAAATTATCCTCAATTATCTCTATCTCCTCGACTATCTCTATCTCTATAATATTTGGTCAAGTGCATGTAAGGTATTGTAGACCACCAACACGACTTCTATATTTTTTTGGATCTTGAACATGATCACTATCTCTAGTAGATAATTTGTTTGCTGTGACTATTGGCGTTAAGGAAGGTTTACAATTACTCATTCCAAATTTTTCTAACGGATCCAATGCATACTTGTGTTGTGTCAATTTCATACCTTGCCTCATGCACTCAACTTCCACACTTATGAAATACTTTAGATTTCTAAGATTCTTCATAGCAAATTGTTCTCCGAGGATTATCGTGATATATTGTAATCTATTTCCATCTCCGTACCTATTTGATGTAATCAAATCCTTGATTGAGTCAATCAAGGATAAATACCTAACTATTATAAATAGAACCCACATCCCTCTCTATAAGTGTGAATAATTTTACACAAATATTTTCCTCTAAATTTTTCATGGTATCAGAGAGAATAAACTTAGGGGCTCC